AAATAGATCATAACTGATGATAGATACCTAAAAATTATAGGATGAAGATAAAAACAAATCAAACAAAGCATCTGGGTATGATATTTGACACAGACGTCTTCCTTTTATCTTGTCAGGGAGCAGGATTACATGCACTCTTATTTTTCAATATTACAGGGATGTGGAGCTTTAGGCCACGCTGCCTGTGGGAATAAGAAAGACCCCGAAATGCAGAGCAGCTTTACTGCTGCTGATTAGAGACATCTGCACCATCAACCCCATTATTCACTGCAGGTTTGACAAACTCCTGCCACTAGATGGGGGAATATTACTGCACATGGAATTATGCTGAAATCCAGATTTTTGTTATATAGATATTGGCAGATGATGTGGAAGAAGCAGGGAGGGGAGGAGTTGTGGCTACTCCCCAGAAAAAGTCCAGCTATGCTCAGAGTGCATAGCATTCCCAAAAAAGTCCACACAGTCTTCAACATTTTTCCCTCTTTATTTTGAGCTCCGCTCAAAAGCAACAAATACAGTCTGTGTGTGCAGCTGTGGGACGGTGGAGAGTGAGAACAAGATACTTCATAATGATTTCGAAAAGTCTGCAAATCTCGTCCGTTGCTAAAAAACAACAATGATCTTCGCAACTTAATTCTCTGACAGCGGCTGCTGTTGCTGAGCAGCCAACCGACACCTGTTTTCCACATTTAACTTACTAACCTCATCCAAAAAAACCAAAACTAAAACAATCAAAAACATTTATCCTGCTCGTCTTTCACAGAGCCACTTCCTGTTCCAGGCACTCACCGTGTCCCATTTGGCGTTCATCTTCTCCTTTTCAAACTTGGCGAACTCTCTTCTGTCGTGGATGATCATCAGCAGCTTCCAGATCAGCAGCAGGGCTAAGCCAATGAGGACAATGCCTGCGACCACGCCGGCCACAATGGGGATGATGTCAGGACCGGAGGGGCAGTCTGAAAAAGAGCAGGGTTCAGCAGGCAGCTTGAAATCGCAGTGCAGCAATAACACCATGGGAGTAACATACCATCACACAGCTATATGTGAGTAAACAAAAGCTCTATTTTTGTAAGCCAACCACCATGGCCCCTGTAATTAGCTTTTTCTGTAACAGAAACCTTCCACACCCTGTTCCCAGTGAGCCCAGCCCTCTCCTTACCCAGCTTGTCGACCACATGGACTTCCCTTTCCGTGTCGTTGACAGCGTAGGTATAGTAGAACCAGCAGTCATTGGCATCCCTCTCCTTGCAGTGCATCACGGGGTAAGGGTAGTCATTGGGCTGCGGCAGCTTGTTCCTGTCCTTCACTGTAATCAGGTTAAAGTAGCTGCACTCCTCTTTGCATGTTTTCATCTTCTCACCGGTGCCAAACGCCCGGCACTGGACACACAGTCTGGAAAGGACAAGGAGTGTTGTTAGTAAACACTCAGTTAGATTTGCCACGTGACAACAAAAAAGAAACAACTGCAGCAGCCCATCTACCTCCTTGTTGTCATGGAGTCAGTTAACGTAGCCTTATTTCTTTATTTTATTTAGATTTTTGATAATTTTCTTTTTTTTTTGTTATTTTTTTTGTTATATGTTGACACGTTATTATTAGCAATGAATATATGACAGATCAGCTATTACTAAGTTCTTATTTGCAGTGGATATGCAGTCAGATTTTACTCAAAGCTGATTTACGTACATGTACTTGCATAGTACAGAGACATTATGAGAGCAAACACTTAAAGAGAAGTGTTCAGCAGCTGAACAGGAACACACATGCCAATCACCTATTATTTTAATGCATGCACACAGTAGAGGTTTGCAATAATTTCAGTGAGCATGCACTCACAGCCGTAGTAAAGCTGTAGATATCTGCACCAATCACTACAGTATCTTGTCAGCACTCCCAATTGAGCCTTTAATTACCTTGTGATGCCTTGTGATTTATAAGTATATTCTTTTAAACATCAGACATATTTTTCTTTTCTATAGTAAATAAAATATGGGTTTGTAAATCATTGCATGCTGGTTTTATTTACATTTTACACAACTTGTCATCTATGAAATATATGCAAAACCAGAACTATTTCTACACATCAGACTTACTTGTGTTCAGCGCAGACTCCTGGACAGGTAGGGCAGGTTTCACATGTGGGACCCTGGAACTTGGGGTCTGTGCACTTGCAAACGCCACACTCACATCTTCCTCTGCCGTTACAGATCTGCTTGTTGGTGGCCAAACATGTGCTGTTGTCCAGAGAACAGTCACAGGCTCTACCGCTCCACATGGGGTCGCAGATACACTCCCTGCACACACATCGTCCATTCCCTAAGGAAAAAAGTTAAAAAAGGAAAATTGTGATTAAATACTGTAAATGGCCTAAACACTTAAATGAAGCCACAGATATAATCTGTAACATTGACACACTCACCTCCACACAGTTTGTTTTCAGAGCGATCACAGTTGAAGTTGTCACACTCGCAGAACTGGCCGCTGTACCTTTCCTCTGGGTTGGGTCTCTTCTTGCACTCGCATGTGCCGCACACGCATTCACCGTTGTTGCTGCAGATGTCCGTGCTGTTGTCTTTACGGCAGGTCTGATCCATGTCGTCTGTAGCCATGTCGTTGCTGCTGCATTCACAATTTCTACCCACACGGCCTTCAAAACACCTGAGACAATAAAGGGGAGGTTGTGATGCATTTTAAAAGAAGTCCAAGTACATGCGAAGGCGAGAAGTGAACGATGGCATTTTTCAGCAAAATATCTTTTGAATTAAAGGCTTACCTGCACGCTCCACACTCAAAGGTCCCATTTAAGGAGCACTTTTCGCTTTTTTTAACAACATCGTTATTCTGGCATTGACAGTCACAGATGAAGTTGAGGATAATCTCCACCTCCTCTGTGAATCCCAGGGGCTTTATCTTGATGGTCTCACTCTTGCCTTCATTTGGACAGCCCTTAGATGTCACAGTGATGTTAAAGTTGACCTGAGTAATGGAATAAGAAAGAAAGCCTAAATGAGAGAAGAATGGTGTGAAAACTGAAATGGAAAATATGAACTGTGAACTGCAACAACAAGAAGTCATTCTGTATTTCCCACCTCATCTCCAATTGAGATATTGGAGCACTTTCGTCCATCGTCCTTGTCGTTAACCACTCCGTTCTTACACTGTGATTTGTATTCTATCTCCACTCCCTCTGGGAGCTTGCTGTTGTCTAGAATAACTTCAGATGAGAGAGACTGCCAAAAACCAAAAACATAACAACATGAAGGTTTTTTTCCTGCTTTGGAATTTCATCTGGTAGCTTTGTTTTGACAGAGTACATTACACAAAGGCATGGCTGTAGGTTAAATGAGAATACAAGTACAAAAAAGGAATGTTCCAGCTCAGTAATCGCTACAAGATTTTAACAGAGTTCATATGAGGAAATGATAACTTGATCAAAGTTTTATGACATTATGCTAACAGCAAAAAATCTCAACAATGTACTTACATTGTAAGCGTCTATGATGAGGTTGATTACATTGCTGGAGTTGGCAGACAGTGTACCCACTGCAGACTTTGGTATCAGATTTTTCAGTTCCTGTGGAGGAAGAGGCATGTTCAGAGCAAAACTTCAGAACTCTATTAATCTCGTGGCCTCAGAAAGAGACACAAGTTGTTTCAACTTACACTACAGCCCACAAAATAATATTTTAACCATTTTATTGCAGATTCTGATCACACAAATTTCAACTATTGCTTTGATGGGTGTTCACACTTCGAAAGGTGAGCCTAAAAAGCAACAGCTTGTTAGCAAGAAATAATGAGAACTTCAAGGGGATGGTAGTCTTAACTTAGCAGATGGCTAAGCTTTTTGCAGATGTTTTTGTTGCACTGGACAAACACATGCATGCTTAAAAAATGACAATGAAGAAAGACGTGAATGAGTATCACAGGGATAAGAAGAAGAAGAACTAACTTGGTACACAGGCTGAAACTCCTCTGTGACTGCAAAGATAGTCTGAATGTTGTTGTCGCTTAGCTTCTGGACCAGGTGAGCAATTGAGGGATAATCCTTAAAAAGACCAAGGAAGAGAAAAAGCCATATTTACAAAATCAACACAGCTAACCTGTACAAAACAACCAAAGCACAAAGGAACTACTTACATAATAGTGGCTCATTGTGTACACATTGTCCTCCAAGTGACATTTTCCATCATTAGGCAGTACAATGCCTCCCAGTTTGCCATCTCCAGCAAAGTGGAAACCGGCATCAGTGGAGAACACCAGCAGACGCGTAACATTCCTCCAGCCAATTTCCTTCTGATAAATAAAAAAGAAAATATATTAAGTAATTACCAGAACAGCTTAATATGTGACACATGAACTTTTGACTACATCCACAAATCTCCTTGTAAACACCAAGCACTCATAAAATACCTTTTTGACACTACATCTAAACACTTTTACTGGCACTATATCCCTCCAAGCAAGCCCCATAATGACTGGAAAATTACTTGAGAGTGAAAATTTCCCACAGGATCGCTTTCCTTTTCTTGATGCTTACCCCGCAAACAGCCACTTGCATGATGGCGTCAAAGCCCCCCTCTGGAGAGTCCAGGTTTCCTGAGATTTGCTGCTTGCCCACCAGAGAGTTGAACATATTGCCGTCACTGGTCAGACTCAAGACATTCTTGTAGCTGAAGGGGCTGGTGCAGTTCTGGTCCCCTGTGCATGGGTTTAGCAGCTTGGATGGAGTGGTGCTGATGTAAGGCATGACCGTCTTCTCCACAAACGAACCAAAACCTGCAAAATAAATTTTAAACTAAACTAAACTAAACTAGATGTTTGCTTTGACAATGCGTATGTCTGTAACTGTGGGGTTAGGTGTGAGGCACAACGGCCTGATTATCTTTTAATCCTGCATATGATTAGTTGTTTGTTTTTTTTGCTTGTTTTTAAATGAGAATTGAATTGAATTGAAAAGAACTTCATCCAACCTCAAAATTGCTTTAAGAGTATACCTCTAAACTGTCTATCTATTTATTTTTATAGTTTTGAGGGGGGCTACAAATGTATATTTGTGCAGTTATAAAAGTCTTTCTTTACTTGTGTAATTACATTTTATAGTGAGAAAATTAAACAGGTGTTATTGATAATCCCCACCTATATGAAAATCACTGGTGATCTTTTTCATCTCCAACATGAGACTGGTTCCCAGGTTCTTGACATTCTCCAGATCATCCTTCATTGAGTAGGACAGGTCCATCAAGTAGTACAGGTCAATGGGATAATCTTCAGCTCGTTTGAACTTCAAGTCAAAAGACTGGGGCTGACCTACATAAAGAGATCACATTTAAAGTTTAAATAAAACTGAGGTTGCTCCAGCCTGGATGCACTTCCAGTAACAGTATAAAATGTGTTCTCACCAGATCGAAGGTTGAGTCTGAGTTTCTGGGGCTGGATCTGAGTGATTTCCTCTGGCTTTGGTTTATTGGTTTCGACCCCAGTAACCTTTTTGCGATTGGTCACACGCTTGTTTGTGATGATCCACTTCTTGCCGGTTGGATTCTGAATTTGCGAATCATTACAGCCCCTGTCTTTTAAAGACTCTACCTCATCACAACGGGTTGACAAGGCTTCACCCTGTTTGAGGAAGCTCTAAGAGCAGCAGCACAGAGAGAATTAAAGGAGCAGTCTGTCAGTTTAACAAGTTAAAATCTGTTCATATGTAGGCATCTTTGTTATGTGTAAACAAGGATGTTCTACAATGTACAACAAGCCAAATGATCACTTTGGAGAGAGAGAGTGGAGACTAGAAAAGTATAACAGACTACAGCCTACCCTGCGCTCCTAGGTAGGAGCAGTCTTTGTAAATTGGATGAGTGTAAAATACTGGCTTCTTGCTCCTCTGTATATCATTGATATAAAAGATTGCTAAAAATGCCACCCTTCTCTTTGGGAATTGACGAATCTATCGATGTTTCAAAGATAACAAAGAGTATAAGCCTAACATAAAACATAATGTTAGGCTTAACAGCTGTTTTCACTTCCGCAGCAGTGAAAACAGCTGACCACTTCAGTTCACGTACTTCCTGTTCACACCAGCCACATTTGGCTCCAGCCTGGATGCATTCCCCACAGTGTTTGGCATTGGCACTGATGCACTCGTTCCCCTCTAGATGGAAAACAAAGAGAGAAGAGAGAGCAGAGTCAGAGGGAGGAGAGGTATAGCGCAGTCGCTGCAAAATAAGCAGTCCTGTTAAGCCCCCGCCTGCGCGCTTACAAATCGGTTCCTCTGCAACACTCCGCGTCTCAATGGTAATGGGAGACAGAGACGGATAATTCCATTTTTTCCATTATCCTCTATGCCCTGATGCTGAAGTGGAGCTCTGCTCAGCAACATCATTAACCCTCCCTCGCCACAGTGGGACTCATCAAAATAAACTGCATGTTTACTATACGAGCTGACATCAACAAAATGATGTAATTGGGACACATGAAGGATGCTACGGAAATATCAAGAGGAAAATCTTACCTTTCTGAGGATTACAGTAGCAAAAGACTCCTAACAACAGAGATATCAAGATCACCTTCAGGTCCATCTGAAAAACACACAAGGGGAAAAAATATATACATCAAGGTGTTCTGGTCTTGACATAAACAGAGCGACTGCTGTTTTGAAAAGCATAATGCCATTTTGACTGTGCCTTTATTTCCAATAACAGGATCTGGTGTGCTTGGTGGCCTGAGTGTCTGAATTAATAATATCCACGGATAAAAAGGTCCACAAGAGTGAGAACGAGTGTCCAAGAGATGACAGATTAAACCTGCAAATAGCTTGGTTATAATTGGAGGTAATAAATTATCCCGTTATAGCGTGCTTGGCTATTCTCAGATGGTCATAGGGTAACAGGCCGCTCATTTAAATCAAACCACTTTCACTCACGCACGCACAAAAGATTACATCAACTCATCCTTAGCTTGGACTGTACCTATTATTTATTTCTCTCCCACAATTCCTTTTACTGTAAATAGCATCAGCTCCCTAGAGTCATCCCCTCTGTCGTCGTGTACATTGATCCCTGTCTGACTGCAGGCCATTTGGTTGGCTAGTTGCTGTGTGTGGACATATTTTATCACAGATAGCTCAAAGCTGCTAAAATGCTCAACAACTTATTTTAGCAACAAATATGCTAATGCCCAAATACTGTAAGTAGGCATGAGCTCATAGCCTAGCTAAAACAGCTGAGTTCGAGTTTACAGGCTTTATTTTTATGTATTTTACGTTTTATGTTTTTTTTTACTGTTTTCACAGTGTTTCGTTTTTATGTCTCTGTGTCACTATAAATTCTGCATAACCGATGATTATATTAAGATATAGTTAGTGCTGGCATTCTTTAAGATTCGCAGCACCTCTTACTGGCAGACCTACTCAGCCACAGCTGAGAAAGCTCCTCGACAGAACTGTCAACCAACCACCAGCCAGCAAAGGATCAGATCATGTTGAATCTAAAACATGTGGAAGGTATACCCAACACTCCATCTGACCATAAAACACAAACTGATGGTGAGTCATTGCTAAAATATTCTCAGAATATAGAAGTCTACCACACTACATGTCAAGGATCCAAATTAGAGACTGACAGACAGACAGCGGTAAAGTCACAAAACTTTGATTTTAACTTATTTAGACTACTGGCTGCTGCTGGCTATTCATGGAGGCTGCAATAAAAGACTGCATTCCCTCACACTGTGCTAAAGGAAGCTCTGATGTTCAGTGTTCACTGTGTTGACTGATGCATTCCTAAGCACTTGTGTGAATGTGTGTGTGCGAGTCCGTTTATCCAGACACAGAGGGACAGACGGCCTGTCTACAGCCCCCCAGATTAGATCAGCTGGCTTGGCACTGCTGGGCATGGGCAGCATGTTCTAGTTGGTGTTGGAGCTGGACATTTAATAGAATAAAAAGATCCCATAGCATCTTCTATGGTAGAATACAGATCTATGACCCAGCTTTAAATGTTGCGAATGATTGGTTTATGTGTAGTCAGTATACAGGATAAAGAGGTGACTCAGGTGAAAATCCTGATCTTAAAATCAAAGAGGTTCACAAACATGATATTTCTGTGTATGTTTCTTGTTTGCAGTCAAATAAAAACAATGGCAATAAGACTCTTTTCAGGTGTCAAGTTAGAAAAATAACCATGCTGTCTTCAGTCCCATGAAGCTTTGCAGCTGTACAGAGGAATGCTTAGTAAATAACTACAGCAGGATATAGAGCTGAAGACTGAGAGCAGCCCAAGGAAGGTTCAGGAACAGGTCATCCAGAAACGTCAGACTTCCCAGACTTCTAAATCAACTAAATAACTTGTTAATATTTCCAGGTGCTTTTCCTCACACACTGTTATATGTTTTAGTAAAATAAAAAGGTAGAAAAACTATTACTTCGAAAGCAAAAACCCACCACTGATAAGGTAGGACATGCTTGGTGGAAAGTTGTTTATTATATAAGCATGAATGTTTAAACTCAACTGTAATCTGTCTGTTTGCATTTCAGAAATGCAGTTTATGCAATTCATAAATGATAAAATTCAGCGTAGAATGCAATCAGACCAATTTATCAGCTGATATTAGCCATCTGGTCTATTGGTGTCTGCATGCGTAACTGCTGATAAATGAAAATTTAACAGGTAAAGAAATGGGAGAGACACCCTTCAACTACTCTTTACTTTTCTTGCTGGCAGTCAGCTGATTCAAACAGAGTTGAGCAGAGTAAATATAAGAAAACAAAAAGCTACACAACATTTTTGGGGGAAATGCTTATGTTTCATGGGTCTGAAAGCAGCCAAGATGCCCCCCCGCGCACGCGCACGCACAAACACATCCTCCAACCACACACACCCATATTTTGCTCCATTGCGGTTTATTTCACACCTTAATTGTTATTTAGTAAACAATTAAGCAAATACAAGTAATCTGCAATAAATTACAGGTAGTAATAAAATAAACTACTAACTCTTTTACGCTGCATCCACACCTACACAAGTATTTTTGAAAATGCAGCTGTTTCGTCCACACGTAAACGGCGTTTCGAATCACCGAAAACTGAGATTTTTTAAAACTCCTTCTTTGCGTTTACGTGTAGACGAGGAATACAGAGTTCGTCACACAACGTCAAAGGTATGTGCCTTTTTTCACATCACACTGTGCGCCACGTTATTGTTTACATGAGATGAATTGCAGAATGGCAGATAGAGACAAAATGTTAATCTATCTTCAGTTTT